ATAGTTCAACCGATCAGCCTGACTGATCCACTGAGCGACCCCTCGTTACTCTTACTACTCCTACTTATTATAGGTGGGAGAGTCTATTAACTATAGAATAGGGGCGTTCCACTATAACACTAACTCACTAACAAAGTAATGAGCAGTATTATAATATGATGAATTTCGTCGTATCATATCTGTTTTTATTAGAAATATTTATAATAAATTATTTAGTAGCGTCACATGCGATTAGTAACTGAAGAGTAAATGCTTATAGACTAAAATAAAGCACCAATATTTACCTATATCCGCATCAAATGAATTATCCCCGAATCAAATCAATGCTTATAGATTCAAACCTTCCCGGTTAGATCCTGCCATGCTACGCACATTTTAGCGAACCACCTTCATTCCTTCCGATTGCCATTGTTGAGAAATAAGTTCCAATTGAACTGCCTCTTCCCGCCAATCACTACTCTGTGGAACCGACTCCCAAGAGGATGTTTCCCCGATCACTAAAATCTTATTCTGTTCGTGTTTAGGCTTAACCGTGATCTTTCCCACCTATCTGCATAAACTGTGCCTTTTATTCTGTAACCTTCTACCTCGAATGGCTCCCGGGCCTTGTACAAAGTGAACTTCAAAAAAACAAACACTAATAATAAAAAGATGACTGATTTCGATATATTCCAGCAAATGTCGTAAAATCAACCAACCCTTCTCTACGCTATTTATAAATCCTCCCACCATTTCTGAAACCTAATCTTTTTTTGAGCCTGTAATTTGCAACTACTCGATGATAAATGCTTTCCTCTTGATAAACTTACGATGTGAATTTATTCTTTTATTTTTTTCTGGATCTTTCATTAAAGAAGATGGCGGAGGTCGGTACTTTAAGCAGGATTTTTACGTCTAACTCTTAGAATTCATTTGTGTGTGTGTGTGTGTGTGTGTGTGTGTGTGTGTGTTTTTCACGTTTGAACAGATTCTCTCCAAGCAATGACTATTCGTCTTCAATGTATAAGTATCCTCTTTAGGAACTGTGTCATTGTAATTAATGGCCAACATATTTTAGAGACTGGATCAATAAGTTCATAGTCTGACATAGTTTTTGCCTCAAGTATTTTCTGAGATTTTTACGGTGTATTTTAATGAAGGAGCGTCAAATTGAAAAGTCAAGACATTTTGTTTGCAAATATTTGCTATATACTGAATATTTCATATTGAGAAACGAATAAATATTGTGTAAAATACATTCTTTTTTTCAGCATTAGGCTACGGAATTATTGATATAAATATGTATATGTCAATAAATAGAATTATATTTTATAGCATTAGGTGCATTGACAAGGAAGGAGATTATGTTGAAAAATAAATATTTGTTTTGTAAAATAAATGCTACTTTTCATTATTGGCTGCAGACGTGATGTCTAATTGATCGCATTTCTATTCTATCCTCTATTACTATTGAGATCACCATTTCTAGTCTATCCTCTATACTATACGGACCGCTATTCTCTACTCTATTCACTATACTATTTCTCCATACTATTTCTCTATACTGATCACCATTCGGTGGTTACTATTCAAGCGAATATTATCGAGCAAGTACTATTAGTGCGAGTGCTATTCGAAGGCGTTTGGCACTAGTATTGTTCAACGGTGTTACTATAGTTGCATCTGCGATTACAAAGTCTCTACTACAATGAGCAATACGAAAGTGACAATGAGTATTCGTTGACATCACAAAAAAATGGCAACGAGTGTTCGTTGACATCACAAAAAAAGTAAATTTTCTGATGCTGCATCAGCCAAAGCTCTCGTGGCTGATGATCTCAATTCATTGGAAGTGTGAACATATAGACGTTTTGTCTTGGTTAATTAAAATAGACTACACTAATTATTCCGTTAAATGCCAAGGATTTACTTGTCATTTGTCTGAGCTTAACCATTTGATTATGTCACCTGAGGACTGACGCACTTTACACCTCTTTTTTGATCTCAGTCACCCCAAACAAGGCAGTATGCCACTAAGACACAAGAGGTTACAGAGTGTGGAGGAATTAGGAACAGGAATATTAATAATGAGCAGAAAGAGAAAGGAGTATATCTTCTATTTCTCTACGGACCGCTATTTTCTACTCTATTCACTGTACTATTTCTCTATACGGATTACTTTTCGAGCGAGTAATATCGAGCAAGTACTATTAGTCCGAATGGTATTCGAAGGCGTCTGACACCAGTATTGTTCAACGGCGTTACTATAGTTGTGTCTGCGATTACAAAGTCTCTACTACAACGAACATTACGAAAGTGGCAACGAATATTCGTTGACATCACAAAAATATACTTATGTATGTTATATAAATGTATTGGCAAGGAAGGAGATTTTGTTGATAAATATTGTGCAATGTAAGTGCGTTTTTGTCATTAGGCTATGATTTTATTGATTTATCTAACTATACGTTATATATAAATGGATTTTGAATATAATTGCATCATGTGCATTGACAAATAAAGAGATTGACGCCGAAAGTGAAATCTGCCCTCAAATTTCGGTTTAGTTTGTTGTATTGACTTTCTGTTGTAGCCTTGTTAGGGCCTCGGAATAAAGACACAAAGAGAAGAATTGAGTTAAACAAATATATTAACAGAAACAATAATACAAACATATACAAACGAGAGTGTTACAACAAGAATGTTCGGTACGACTGTCAGAGCTGACTGCTGGAAACTTCCCTCTCCAAAAGGCAGTACCTGCTCCTATTTATAACTGGGAGAGTTCATGCGTGCGTGGGTAAATTACCATAACACTTTCACAGAAATCTCACTGGGAAATGCGTGAATAGATATATTTTGCTTCTGGCAATCGGTTAAATACCAACATAAAGGGAGGCCCCCTAACTTTGGGTGACACTGAATTTCAGACCGTAGAAAAATTAATCAGAACCTCTTCCACTATAACTCCTAATAAATCATGCCAATTTACAGATAATAAATAAAAGGGATTTGTGGAGAGACGTGATCGCCTACGATCCATGAAGGAAAATGGCATTAAAATATTGTATTTATAAATTCAATTTCGCAAACCAATCGATGAAATTTGAATAAAGCTGATTTGTTTGGAAAAATACTTTGACAAAAACCCTTCTTCGCGTTTTGATAATTTCTTTCATTTAATTTAATTTTATAGGACTTCATGGTAAACAATATTTTAAGAGAGTCCCTTTTTTTTCATTTTTAACAGCGAATAATAAATTCTTATGATTTCTTAATCTTGAGCATGCAACATACAACTGACTATATGTAAATATTTCTTTCTGGTGCCAAATTACAACTTTTTGGAGCGTTCAGCCGTGAGATTTGTTTATAGTTCTCACAAAGGCAGGGCGAAATGGGAACTGGATTCTTGTATATATGAAAACTTAAAGAAAAGATAGACAAAAACGTATATTGCATTTTTATTAAATAAGTATTTGTTATTTTAATCATTAAATTGTTTTTTAAAATAGTGGGAATATTTTGTATGTTAAATGATTAAACTTTTAATTTTTCCAAAAACATTAATGAAAATTTATTGTACTAAGCTACGCACCCTAGAAAAAACAAATATACTTTGTAGCTCCTTACTTCTTCGCATGTCTCGCCAGAATTTGGTTTCGATCTGTTGATGTATGGCTATTTTAGAGGGTGTGGCAGAATCACGGAATTTTATCTATAGATTAGCAGCATTCTTATTCTGTTATTCGGATTCTTATTCTTTTTTATTTTATCATTTTAATTCTGACGCTCTTATTTTTATTCCGTTATTTTTATTTATTCATGTTTTGTATAGCTTCATTTTTATTATTTTGTTCTTTTCATTATCTTCCCGGCAGAATAAGAGAATAAGAATCAGTATTTACTGATTCTTATTCTATTATTCTGCTAGTTTTCTGCATCTTTGATTTATTCCTTTTTTCTTTTTTAAATCAATTTTGTGCTCAGCTGCAAATAATGATCTCAAGTTAAAACTCGATTAAATACATTGAATGAAGCGATCTTTTGGCTTGTGAATCTTTTGATACAATTCTCTTTCCTCGTTTTTATGACTAGACACTTCATAGTGAAATGATGTATCAACTGTTAAAAACAAGCCTGTCAAACTACGTGACCTTAAAAAATGACCTCATTGACTGATTTAAAAAAAAATCTTTTCTCTTCATGACGCCATTGTCATCATCACCCTCTTTGCGCGCCAAATTATTTTCTCTACTCATTGAACTTGACCTCTCGGAGTAGATTATTACTTCCGTCCGCAATTTGAATTAGGGTCTCGCGTCCAGGAAATGAAGGTCACACGAGTTTTATAGATCCGAGAAGGGTTGAAAAACAACCATTTATGCTACCCTAAAGAAAGAAAGAAATTTCCCTTTTTTTATAAAAAAAAAGGTGACATTTTGACCCGATGAATCCATAAAAAGTATAAATTAATGATATCCACGCAATTTACTCACAATAACCAAGGAATAGTCGTTGTTTTCACGTGACTTTGTTATAATCAATCACAAATAGCAAGATCCTTATTATTTTTAAGGCACTTTTAAAGCTGTGTTGCATATATACAAAATTTGCGTAAAGTTTATTTTTGCAAATTAATTATAATAGATTTATAACATATTCCCTATACGAGGTTGAGCTGAAAATTTCATAGGCTGATTATGAACCTGTAATGCTCGAACTGTGAAATCTTGCATAAACTAATTTCAACTCTTCTTATTCATAACTATATTCTTTATTGTCGCGTAAACTGACATTTTGCCGTTCAAAGAAATAGCGGCTGGTTGGTTGGTTTCGTTTAGCGGCATATCAACCCCTAAGTGTTATTTAATGCCGAAATATCTAGCTGGGGGGGGATGTGGATTCGTAACTTTCTGCTTGTAAGTGAATACGAAGAACCCAACGGGAATTAGAACTCGGCTCTCTGATTAACAATTTAGAGCCATTAGCAAATACACCACCTTCACATCGATATTTATAGTACCTGGTATTCCCAAGCAGTCGCCCATCTAAGTACTGATTAGGCTCGACGTGGCTTAACTTCGGTGATCGTACGTGATGTAGCCTTAAGCCTATGTATAAATGGATGGCAAAACAAAGGTTAGTAATGATAGCAAAAAGACAAACTTTACTAAGTGCTACAAAGGACAGGACATTGTGGAGAGCCATGATCGCTAACGTTTTAAAAGGACACGGAACATAGAAGAAGAAAAAGATGATGAGTTGACATGGCACATACAAAAAGGAGAAATTTCAACATAGTATAAGACACAGAAAAAAATAAATAGGAGTAGATAGGTTCGCCTCTCGCTCGGTTCACATTCCCTCCCCGTCTTTTGAACAGGAGTAGCGCTTTATTCCTTGTTTCCTGCTTAAGATTGGGTCCCCGTTTCCTTCGCTTAAAATATTCTCATCCTTTTTCACTCCTAGTAGCGCTTTGCGTCTTAGTGGCATTGTCACCTTGCCTGAGATGAAATGATTAAAAATAATAATAATAATAATAATAAAAACTCATATTTGGGAACACCACGAAATAATTTTTTTCTGTTCTAAAAATATTTCGATATCGAATATTTTAATTGAGAAATTAAAGATAACGACGGTGATATTATACTAAAAGATCCTTGGTTATCGAAAATCGATTGTTTACACAGTCAAATGCTGAAAAATGTTTTATGAAGAAGAAAAGAAAATCATCCTGTCTAGAATGAACGGTAAAAGAAGCGACTTATTTTTGACTCATAAAATTCCAATTCATTATAGCACATATTTTTGCGAAAGCCTGCAAATTGAGGACGCAATTTAAGGCGTATTTGGTTAAGTAAACATTTTATGTTCAAACCCGCCTAGTGAATGAGTGGCAATATCAAGGCAGCCAATAAAGATCAAACTCATGATACGAAGTTATTAATTTCTAGTTTAGCTGGAACCTAACAAGCGAATGAATGCGAACTGCATACGAAACTCCCACTGTGAAAATGATCTCAAACTTCAGGGTTTCGTTTCAATAAGAACAGGAAAGGGAATCCTTGCATATTTGCAAGTTCTAAGAGGAAAATTCAAACAGTCAGATGAATCAGACACAAACGTAAATATTTAGTCAATGTTTATACAGTTTGAGCGAAAATGATTTTAGTAAGGCATGAATGATGGCGGACAATCATTTAAAGGGAACGGCTGCAGACTGTCGTAACGTAGCTTCCCCTGTGTCTTTTCTATAAATACTTTCATATCCCGGCTTTCCTGCATCAAAGGGTTGAGGTTAAAAAAATTGCAACAAAAACACGAATAAAAACAAGATTAGAGCGGACAAACTCTCTCTTTTAAGCGCAGACGAATAAAGTAAAAAAACTGCTCGCTGTGTAACAATGAAAGAAGAAAATGTTTATTTACATATACAGAAAAAAAGAGGGTAAAAGGATAAAGACAATCAGGAGAGAAAGAAAGCGAAAAGAGAAAATGTCCTTTATGGGAAGAGAAAATGTTCATAACAGAAAAAAGGCTTGCTCAAAATATTTCTCTGAGCGCCTAAAAGTTCTTTAAGCGTGTAGAATTTTGTTAACGGTTAGAAATACTCAAAGTTTTATTGTAGAATAGGAAAATATTGGTAGATATAGGAATTCTGCAGTTTGAGTGAGTTCGTAGGTCGGCAAGAAAGTCTTGTAGGTGAAAAGAAGGCAGCTGTCAACTGGTCTTTGAGGGCCGACGTTCGTTCTTGACAGCCCTTTAGTAATTAGTTCTTTTTTGGTTGAAAATGGTTCCGAAGTTGACTGATGCTCTCTATCATCGACCTTACAGACGGTGGGCCGAATTCTCACTGCCAAATAGGTGAAGATCCTCCAAATTTATGGAGATTTGGTAGGCTCAGAAGAATCGTGGATTTTTCCCTCCAAAATTGTTAAACAAATTTCCTGGCCCCTTCATTGGTCAGAAAATATATTCTTATCTCTGATAAGAAACAATGCTTTGGGAGCCAGTTTTGAAAGTAATGAAAACAGGTTGGAGTGAACAAACTGTGAGGTTTCCCCCAGACTTTATGGCACCATGGAAAGAATAATGGAGGTGGGATACCTTTTTATATTTTCCAGCTCTCTCGTTAGAAAATATATTCTTATCTTTGTTAAGAATCAAGGCTTTGGGAGCCGGTTTTGAAAGTAAGAAAAAAGGTTGGAGTGAGGATTAAAAAAATAGGCTAGAATGTGAACTTATAACATATTGTGTTTGTGGTCCACAAATTCCAATACGGCTTTGAAAAACACCGTAAAAGCAAGCGATTTAAGCTATCTCTGGCTAATAGTTTCAGCTGACATGAAGTGGTAAGACTATTGAATCTATTGCTAAGTCTGCTACAAAGAAAGTCTTCACTGTATCGTGCTCGACATTTTTTCTCTCCAGAATCTATCTTGCATAGTTATAAGTCTACCATTCATCCTCGCTTTGAATATTGCTGTGTGATCTGGTCTTGTGTTCCTGCTATATATTTAGAGATTCTTGATAAAATGCAAAGAATAATCAGTGATATTATTGGTTATGACCTGGCTTCTCGGCTTTCCTACTGTTGTAACGTACCTTACCCTGTGTCTTTTCTATAAATACTTTCATGGTAATTGTTCGGATATATTCTTCGCTATGGTACCGAGACGTTATGAATTCAAGTGCAATTCTAGGTTAGCAACAAGGTCTCGTCAATTTACAGTTGAGTTGGCGAGATGTAACCATAAATTCTATGCCAAGAGTTTCTTTGCTTGCAGATTTGGCTTGTAGATCATTCTTTCGTCTCCATGCTTCCAAGCCAACTTTGATCTTCAAGAATTTAAATGCAGAGCCAATCGTTATCTACTGTCTTTCTGATTCCCCTTCTATTGTTTTCGCTTCTTAATAATGTTCCTGCTTTCTGATTCTTTAACACTCAGCAACCCTTCATGTCTTAGTAACTTTACTGCCCTGCTTGGGGTGAAATGGTTAATAAAATAATCGAAAATCTGGTTAATTTTTTCTATGTATATCTGTATTATTTACAGTATTTATATGAGTACTAACGTCTTCATCTTTATTTTATTACAACGTTTTGGTCGTTTCTGGCCTACATCAAGCGCTTGTCAATCCTGATAACCTACAAGGAATTTTCGAATTGAACACTTTATTCAATCTACGAATCGTTCCGCTGACCATGTGTAGAAATCTATATTAAATCAGTTACCCGGTTTCCTGCTCGGAAAGTTTGTTCAGTGCTAGACAATTTTTCTCACCAGAATCTATTTTACATATTTATAAGTCTACCATTCGTCCTTGCTTTGAATATTGCTGTCTGATCTGGTCTTGTGTTTCTGCTATATATTTAGAGATTCTTGATAAAATTCAAAGAAGAATGAGTAATGTTATTTTTCCTGAGCTGACATCTCAGCTTCAGTCTCTTTCTCACCGCCATAATGTAACTTTTCTCGTGCCTTTTCTATAAATACTTTCATGGTAATTGTTCTCACGAAAGTTCCTCTACGGTACCTAGACTTTATGAATTTAAAAACAGTACGAGATTTGCGGTAAGGTCTCAACATCTTAAAGTTCAAATGACCAAATGTAACCGTAAGTTCTGTGGTGGAATTCTATTCTTACATTCCCGCCCTAGTGGCTTTATTGCCTTTGATCTTCAAAAATTTAAATGCAATGTCAATCGTTATCTTCTGTCTTCTTAATTCTTGTTCTTTTATTGTCCTGTCTACTTAAAAATGTGCTTTTTTCTTATATTCACCTACTCTCCGTAATCCCTTGCATCTTAGTGTCTTCATTGCCTTGCTTGGGGCTAAATGATTAAAAAAAGGATAATATAATAATAAATAAATATTGTTTCTTATTTTCTTTGTCTTTTAGATGTATTTACAGACTCTGGAATAAAAATGTATAAAAACCACCGTGGCCACAACGGGGGTGGGTCCGTTTACATATTAACTGTAAAACAGAATCGATCCCCCACTTTAAATCCACAATTTCTTAATCCTTTTCTTTTATTATTATTTTTAATAGTATTTTTTCCTTATATTCTCTAATAATCACTAACCCCTTGCATCCTAGTGGCTTTATTGCCTTGCTTGGAGTGAAATGATTAAAAAAATCCTTAAACTTAAAGACCCTCTTTCAGCCAGATCCTATATAGTCTGACACTACAGAATCCCACTTCGGTAAATTTCCAACAACAGCAACAACTAAAGTAGTCGATACATACAAGTAGAAGGAAAAATAAAGAAAATGTTGATTTTCCACCTAAGCTGAAACAAAAGGTTAGAAAGGAAACTCCGAAAAATATTAAAACTATGACAATGAACCTGAATAAGAATTTTTTTTATAAATGTCAAGTCAATGAATGGCGAAAGTTTCTTGCACGGAGACGGATAATCTCACCTTTATTATTACCAATACCAACTTTTCTTTACTTTTTTTCTTTTTTTAATAATAAAAAAAAAACTCAAGTATGATCTTAGGTCACTCAACAATGTTTTCTCTCATCTTTAACGGTTGTGCTCAAATGCTAAACTGAAAGCAAAAACGAGGTTATTTCTATTGAACGGAAGTTGCTAGTTGACGGTTTTCCTGAAAGCTAACTTTATTTTTACAAATGGGAGAAGAGAAAGGAAATGCCAAAGATTCGCTTGACGTCATTTCTAATTGTAGCCCTGAAGAAAATAGTCCTTAACTCGAATTTCACTTCTTTAGAATCCCTACCTGAGGAAATCTTACGGCGTATGAAAACAAGCAACCTCAAGAAGAAAATAGTAACCCTAGTCGTCTATTCAACATATAAAGAAAACGTTGATAACTGCACCTGGGCGCCTGTCGTGGAGTCAGGTTTAATTTGCTCGTCTCAAAAGCGATTAAATGTAAGTTTTTTCTACCTCTTAATCTATGAAGGTGGCTTTTATCGTGGCTTGTCTGATCACCGAAGTTAAGCAACGTCAAGCATGGTTAGTACTTAGATGAGTGACCGATTGAGAATACCAGGTGCCGTGAGCTTCGATGTGCGGTTGGTATAGCTTACGGTGATATCACATTGAAACACCTGTTCCCGTACGATCACCGAAGTTAAGTAACGTCAAGCCTGGTCAGTACCTAAATGGGTGACTGTTTGAGAATACCAAATGCTGTAAGCTTGGATGTGAGGTTGGTATAGCTTACGGTTATATCTCATTGAAACACCGGATCCCGTACGATCTCCGAAGTTAAGCAACGTCAAGCCTGGTCAGTACCTAGATGGGTGAACGATAGGGAATGCCAAGTGCTATAAGTTTTGATGTGCAGTTGGTATGGCTTACATTCATATCAAACCGGTTCCCGTACGCTCATCGAAGTTAAGCAACGTCGAACCTGGTCATTACTTAGATGGGTGACTTGATGGGAATCGCAGGTGTTGTAAGCTTAGGTTGGAGAGTGATGTAATGGAATTTCAAGTCATAAAGCCGAGTTCCAATTCCTGCCTGATTCGTTATATTCCCTTGCGAGCAACTACTTTTGAGACAGGCATGAATCCACCTCTCCCCCAGCTATAGATTAATTAGTATGACGTGTATCACTAAGCTGTTCTTATTTCCTCGCAATTAAATAGATAGATAGATAGATAGATATGAACAGACAGAGCTAGCTAGATAGATATGAACAGACATAGATAGATAGATAGATAGATATGAACAGACATTGATAGATAGATAGATAGATAGATAGATATGAACAAACTGACATAGATAGATAGATAGATAGATAGATAGATATGAATAGACCTAGATAGATAGATAGATAGATAGATAGATAGATATGAACATAGCTAGCTAGATAGATATGAACAGACATAGATAGATAGATAGATAGATAGATAGATATGAATAGACCTAGGTAGATAGATAGATAGATATGAACAGACCTAGATAGATAGATAGATATGAATAGACCTAGGTAGATAGATAGATGGATAGATAGATATAAACAGACCTAGATAGATAGATAGATAGATATGAACAAACTGACATAGATAGATAGATATGAACAGACCTAGATAGATAGATAGATAGATAGATAGATAGATATGAATAGACATAGATAGATAGATAGATAGATAGATAGATAGATTAAGACAATAATTTGAAAATAAATGTCAGAATCGAACCTTACATCGTTTTCCTCTTTGCATCATTTCAAGATACTGAGCATATCATGGGTCGAACATGTGAGCAACAACAAAGGTTTTGAAGAAAATGGAAACAAAAATGAAACTTATACTTAACACCAGAAATAATCGGTTGAGATTTCCGGGGCACGTAATGAGAAAGGAGGGCTTGGAAAACCTGATACTCACAGGGCGGATAGAGAGAAAGTAGGACAGAAGAGAGCAGAGTTACATACTTGATGACATTGAGCAAATGAATAGTTGAATAGAGTTTGGGAGACAAAAAAGACAAAATTTATGAAGAGGTACACAGGACAGGAAGATGTGGAGAACTATGATCACCTACGCCCTGAAGAAAGACGGCACATAAAAAAAAGATTGTTTCTATGAACTGATTTTCATTATTATCACATCTAAAGCTTGAAATTTTCTCTTTGTGTTCACCATCACAGGATTACCTCCACCAACAAAATTCATCAGAGGTTATATATATATATATATATATATATCCCATAATGTTTTCATAAGTGTATGTGTTTTTTTTTACTAATGCTCACTCAATACAAGGCCAAAGGACCACTCAAGGTAGAGGGTTACTATTTAATGATGTATAAGGTAAAAAAAGGGCAAAAAGGGAAATTCCTGGGGCTATGCATGAAAGATAACAGATAACTCTAGATTTGCAGAAGTCAAGATTTAATTAGTGAATACCATTTCAGAGTTCTGTCAGAAACGTTAGAAGTCTAGTGTGGAAGTTTAGCAGGAATCGAAAACCCAATTATTTTTTATGAGATGCTTCTGATAAATCGTTATAAACTTTTGTCACGGCGTAGTCTTAGTTTTGTGTCTAATCTTGTTGGCGAATATATGCGCTCTCTGGATGTTTTTTGTAAATAATATTGCCACCTATTTTATCGATTGCCACCTCAAAACTCAAGAACTTTCCCCAGAATTCTTTTTAATTTCAAAAATACTTTTGCCAAAGTAATGTCAATCTTCATTTAGACTTACAAATATTGCATGGATTTTTTTTACATCGTTGCGATATAGCTACCGTGTCGGTGATATTCGGTACAAAATCAGAGGCGTAGACGTATAGAGAAAATTTTCTAGATTCCAAATTACTACAAAGTTTGCACCAAAGCTTGAAGATTATCTACACTCCTAATCAAGTTTTTTTTTCAGGCCTTTCACGAGGAAACACTTTGACGCGCTCTTTCGTCGCCCCATTTTTTTTTTCAAACAATGTAACATTGTAAGAAGCCATTCGTGAAAACTTGCCAGCCATTCATGATTTGGCAGTGTGCCGTTTGCGTTCCAAATGTGAAGATCGGACTAATTGATCATTTGTCTTTAACCAAAGCGACAATTACATTCACAGAACAATGACAATAAAACACCTAAGGCCTTGGCGACAATTTTCTATAATGTTTGATTCTGTATTGAACAGAGCATGATTTTAAATGAATTCTTCAGTGCAGACGACTTTATCTTCATTTCATTAAAATATTCTCATAAAAATTTATAACAACAACAAAAATACAAAATGGTGGCCAAAAGATAATACTAAATGTTAGAAATGTTTAATTGGTTTGTTTTTTACGGTATATCAACCCAATGGGTCATTTAATGCTGAATTTTAATTTTCTTGCGAACATGAGTAATTTCTTTTAGAAAATGTATTGCTGGTATTTTTTATTACCATGAAAATGTATTGCTGGTATTTTTTATTACCATGAAAATGTATTGCTGGTATTTTTTATTACCATGAAAATGTATTGCTGGTATTTTTTATTACCATGAAAATGTATTGCTGGTATTTTTTATTACCATGAAAATGTATTGCTGGTATTTTTTATTACCATGAAAATGTATTGCTGGTATTTTTTATTACCATGAAAATGTATTGCTGGTATTTTTTATTACAATGAAAATGTATTGCTGGTATTTTTTATTACAATGAAAATGTATTGCTGGTATTTTTACTAAAATCTTTTTTTATACTTTCATGCTGTTTTGACCCTCCCGATCATAAGCCTTGCTGCCGGATGTAGTTTGTCTTCATACCCGGAACGATAGAAACATTTAGATGCTAAATGTTAGAAAGGTGTTAGGTAACATTTCAAAATATGTTTACATTTGAAATATCTTCGTTACGTCCCTAGTCCGGTAGTCAATCGTTGGGGGTAGCACGTTTACTGCAGTTATAGCAGCAGTGGGGTGTGTCCTGCGAAAGAGCCCAGCGGAGCCTATCTCTATTCAGCGTCATTTTGAATTTAGTTTTTCTTCTAGAATGGTTTTCAGTGTTAGAGGACCTTTTTAGTAACTCCTTGCTAGGCGCAGAAGAGATGGATTTATGCCTTTCCAAGAGGAACTACGCGAAAGCGAACGGCTGGAATTTGAACACGGCACGCCAGTTTCACTCTCAGTACGGCTATCCACTACCTTAACAATACATGGAGATATTTTATAAATGAACCATAGAGTGGCCGCTAAAGTTCGACCAAAGATTTAAATAATATTTTCTTAGATTTGCTCTGAGAAAGAAGTTTTGTGTACAACTACTCAGCATATGAACTTTCTTATTTTTTTCCTCCGCCATCTTGGCCAGATTCCCGATCCAATATATTCTTCAAGGCACAAATTTGTTGATTTCTCTCTCTTATTAGCCTCAGAGGAGCCATCTGTCCACTGTTAGTGAATCATCTTATTATTTGGACTAGTATTTTCATCTTCGTTGTTTTTATCACATCATTTTAACCGCCATAATTCTCGCCCTTTCTCATGTTCCATTCATTTGTCCTTAGGGGTTACTTACTAAATTTTCTTTTTCGTCTAAGATGGCATCGCAGTTTAATGTTTTTACAGAGCTGAGTTTCAGAATCTCGTTCAAGCAAGGGACCTTTACGCCGAGATGAGAAAATCTTGTCTCGGTTTATGGAAGGCCATATAGATTTAAAATTTTTATTTGCTAACATCAGCTCTCCTATTATGTTAAAATGTATCCAGATAAAACATGTTGTATGTCATTTGCAATTAAAGATAATGGACTTTGATTGATAGCTAAGTCTGACGCTACACAATCCCTCTACTACTAATTGAGTTAAGATTAGTATGAAAGTAAAGAAAACTTTTACAATCCTAATAAACTCGATATACATGAAACTTAGTCTGACATATGGCCACAGTAATGTAGCATTCAGGGACGAGTTAACTTACAAAGGCTTGCGAGATGGCTTATGGATGCAATGATTAAATCATATTTTCTATTATAATGATCTGATTACTCCTTGCTGATGTTATCGCGACACAGCAAAAAAAAAAAAAGCATATCTTAGCAAGAATTTTGTTGGGAAAATACCCTTAAATGTTCCAACTTGATGAATAAAGCAATTAATAATTAATGAAGCTATTGTGAGATCTTTCGTATTGACTTTAATAATAATAATAATCCAAATTTTGTATATTTCTTTATTACAAAAAGTGAAAAGAACATTATATCAATTCTGTGTCTTTTGTATCAATATTTCCAGGGCAATTATTCTAATGTGCTCTTCTCCTTGGTACATTGACTTTATGAATTAAAGGGACTGCTAGATTGGCAATTAGGTCTCATTGCTTTATTGTTGAAACAGCTAGAAGTAACCGCTGGGGAAGACTCTTCCAGTTTCTTACTTCCCTAAGGCCTTCCTCACATATACCCATAAAATGTATCTCTTACTTTGTAAAACTCTACCTCGAGTGGCACTTGGCCTTTATTGTAAAAAGAAATTCTTCAGAAACTTAAATGCAACGTCAATCGCCATCTTCCGTCTTCCTGAATTATGTTGCTTTATTATCCTTTCTCCTCAATCCACATCTTCTCCTCCGAGATTGTATCACTAAAATCAGTACCTCCAAATAAAATAAAATAAAACTGCTTACAAAATATTTAGATTTAGACATTACCCATAGAGGTGTTAATGTGTCGCTAAACAAAAACAACCAAGCAAGTTTACATGACATAAAAATGTAATTCGTTATATTTACTTACGCGCAAAAAAACTTTGGAATAGTATGAATCCACGCCTTCTCCTCCAGCTATGGGTTAATTACTAAGACTTGTAGCACTAAATAATTATTATCTCAAAAAAAAAACTTCTTACAATCTAAAACTATTTTCTGGCTTTAAATAACCTACAAATAGTTGATAAGCCGTAAAAAACAAATCAGTCAACCAATAAAATACTGATTAGCTACACAGGCATGTCTTTTAGA